TATTATTATTGGTATTTAGATGATGGTGAGTTAAGTAGAAAGGAGTTTGTACACGCTTTTAAAATCAAGAAACTCACGAGGTTTGCAAAAGGTAAGTATATTAGTTTAATTTAAAATGATTCTTCTCTCCTTTAGTCACGAGAATTAGGACTAGCCAAACTAATGAACTCTGTTGTGGCTTGCTCTGCAAAAGCAGTCAAAGATAAACTAGGGATTGAAGCTTGAGTTGGGGCTATGGTGTGATCAATCAAGTCAGGATTATAAACTATTTTATATTATAACAGAAATATCTTTTAGTGATGGCAGGATAGAATAATATTATATAATTTATTTTTTATGTACACCATTCTGTTTGAGTAGCAACAATACAGAAACATTTGATTATACTTAATTTTATGGGTGACTTGACATTTTGAACACACACACACATGCCCTCATGTTGTGTGGGGATTTGTGCCCAATACAAAATGTGCCAGGAGTACTCTTGATAATGCCAAGATCAGTTCTTTGTAATCTTCTATGCTCTTTGCCAGTTGAGCCTTCAACTTATCAATAACAAAAAGAAATACTGTAACTCATTGTATGTCAATGAATGTTCATTTCTTTATACAATTCCGATTTAAACCATTCATGAATAATTCTGTTTGACGTTAATGATATGAACGAGGTGTCCAAATGCTATAGAGACCGCTACATGAAAGCCATTCAACAGAATACCATTGCTTGAGCCTAATTAACTACTTGTAATAGCTATGTCCCCATGAATATGTTTAAAACAGATAAACACCTCATAGGAGGTGTTTATCCATTATTAGTACAACTACAAATCAGAACAGTTGTAGAGCATTCCCACCTGTCTACATGAACCATGGACCATTAAGTACAAACCTAAAACATTTAAGTAAAACGTAAACCTAATAAAGCAGATGCATGTAGTTTAATTTGGTGGTTGCATACAATGATTGTGGCTTGTGTGGTAAATGTTTTGGAGTATTTCTTAGAATTGTTAGATCTGTACTTGTACAAATTAGAAGAAATAGTTCAATACACACATAATGTCCTCCCTCTCCTCTTTCTCTCTTTACTTAATCCAATTGATCTGTAGTTTAGTGTTATGGTATCAGTTCATCATCGATAAGATAGTAAATTTACTCAGTATTTATGATTCACCTAACAACAGATCCAAAACATTTCAATACTCAAGTCAAGTAGTGAATTGGCTATGGCTGATACTTGACAATGCCCCTGCAATTAGGTCCCACAAGAGAAGAGATATAACTAGAAGACAGGAACACTCTAGCATTAATAATATGTACCAGAAATTAGTTCAAAATGACAACTATATATATTGCAAGTTAACTGACTTTAAAGGTTAGATTCCATCTACAAAATGAGTTTAGGCAAAATGTCTGTAATTTCTGTGACTACACTCTACAAAATTTCCATATTTGGAGTTTGAGCTGCCAGGCTATAATAAGAGAGCTAATGTTGCATCAGCAAGTATACTGTAACTGTTAGTAAAGGCAAGAGTATGTCTCTCCTGTTAGTGGTTGTTCTCTTATTCTTCAGTAGCTCCTGCAGTGTCTTCTCTGGTCAGTATTATGTGTCTGATGACTGCAGTTCAGTTACTCAGTCACCTTGTAATCCTTTATCAGTGTATGCTGGGGATATGTCTCAATACAATAACAGCATCTTCTACTTCATTGGAACCAGTGACATTAATGATGATGTCAACATGACTGCAGTAAGGAATGTTACTCTACATGGGCTGGATCAGTCTCATCTTATTAGTAGCAGGAGTAATAAAAGGTCTATTCTCATCTATAACAGCAGTCATGTCATTATTTCCAACATGTCAGTTTATAATATCGGAGTTGTTGCTAGATCATCGAACAATATTACAATAACTAACTCTTTATTTAATCGTAAGACAATAAAATTAAACAATGCTTTTGATGTTAAGGTATCATCCTCAGTTTTCATTCATTATAATGTAGATATTAGGTATGAGCCTCTTCCAGTATGTAGCACTGAACTACCTCATTACTCACTAATAGTGACTAATGTCACATTATTGAATTACAGTGGGATGGAACTATATACTTATCATGGTGCTTCATACAATCTGTCAGCCATCTTTCATAACTATCATAATATACTTTATAGTGACTCTAAATTTATTTTGGGTGATAGCCTTTTTTCTTTTTATATTAAGAACTCATTATTTCGATCAGCTCCTGGTTACAACTACTATAATATCTTTCGTATTAATTTTAGTGCAAAACTGAACCCAAATAAGTGCAAGTTTCCTCGTATTCAATTAATTTCTACTTTTGTAATTGAGGATAGTCAATTTCATGATAGTTGGTATGGAATTAGGGTATCTGGAGTTCCATACTTACCTAGAACACTTAGCAATCACTTTATCATTATTATCATTAAGTCATGTTTGATAGCTAACAACATAGCTCGGGGCTTAGAGATTGATGAAAAATTCTTGACATTGGTCCAAATCAATATAACAGATACAGTATTTATTGGAAATGAAGCAAATGTGATAATAAACAGTAATTCTATTAGTTTCAGTAATGTTACTTTTGCTAACAGTACCTCAACAGGATTGACACTTAAAGCATCAGTAGTAACAATTGAGAATAAGTTAACATTTAAACACAATACTGGAGTAGTTGGAGGAGGATTAGCAATAAATGACTCATCACAATTGATAGTATCATCATCAGCTAACTTGGAGTTTATTGGTAATCATGCTTCTTATAAAGGTGGAGGGATCTATCTTGAACATACATCATATAGTGGCATAACATTAGAGGCATCAGATATACCTCTTACATTAATAAATAATACTGCTGGAATATATGGTGATGATATATATGGATATACTACTCATCATGGAAACAATCAGTTCAACTTGACAAATCCAATCATTAGTTCAACAGGTGATGTACGGGAAATGTATTTTTGCTTTCCTGATAAAAATCTAGGTTATGAACAGATTTATCCAGGTCAAGCACTAAAGTTTCATGTGGCTTTGTTTGGTAATGATTACTTTGGATCACTAAATGTCACTGATGGTATATTGGCAATACATGATAGACTCACTCCAGGTAGTGCTCATACAGTCGATTATGTGTATGCTAGATCTAAGCCTGATTCTAATTGTTCATCACCAATCGAATACAAACCAAACCATCCTCCCAGTCATGTAAAACATACCCTGCTAATTGTTACAAAAACATCCAGTGACTCATTCTATCACATTCTATCCATTCATTGGGATTATATTGTTAATGAATGTCCCATTGGTTTTAGTGTAGATAGTTCACAAGGTAGATTTATCTGTGCTTGCAGTCAAAGTGTTTCAAGAGAGAATGTGACGTGTAATATAACTAGTCTAAACATTACACACAATGGTCTACTGTGGATTGGAACATATCATACCACTACACCTTTCAATGCTAATGCAACCAATCCTAATGCATGCATTATCAATGAGGACTGTCTCCTCTATTGTTCTCCTAATCCTGTTACCTTTCAGTTGAATGACACTGATACTCAATGTGTGGATAATAGAGGACACAGAATGTGTGGATCATGTAGAGATGGATACAGTCTACTAATGGGATCAAACAAGTGTGGACAGTGTCATGATAATTACATGATAATAGCTTGGATTGCTCTGTTTGCAGTGATGGGTGTACTACTTGTGGTTCTACTCATTGCTCTCAATTTAACAGTATCAGTGGGTACACTCAATGGTCTATTGTTTTATGCTAACATTGTCAAGTTATACGAGCCAGTCTTTTCAAGGAAAGGAGCATTACCAGTCTTGAGTCAAGTCATATCATGGATTAACTTAGACTTTGGGTTTGAGATATGTTTTCACAATGGTATGGACAGTTATGCTAAACAATGGCTCCAGTTTGCTTTCCCTCTCTACCTGTGGATCATTATCATTATCATTATACAATTGTGCAGGAGATACGGTAAAATATCAAGATTGATGGGGTCTCATG